CCTGATTCGGCTGTATTTGTAGCATGGGTGGGTCCTTACTCCTTGGGAGAGAGGTGGTGATCAGATGCTCTGATTCCTTGATGTGAGATCTCTGTTTAAGGGAAGGCCCTGTTTGCACTGGAGTGGGAACCAGGTTTGAAACCCTTTAACTCTCTGTTTAAACACCGATCTGGCAAAGCCAGTTTCTAGCACTGCTCACCTGGCCATTGTGGGCAAATGGTCTGGCGTTCTGAACAATCAAACCAGGAGGTCTTTCAAGCGCAGCGCTGCCATGGCTCAGCACAGCCAAGGAGGAACCAGTTTTGCTGGATCCTTATTTAAATGTCCCCTTACCTCTGAGTCCAGCCTGGTGATCTGACGGCACAAGCGCACACTCCAACTGAACCACACCCAGTCAAACCCAGACAGCCCCAGCCCAGCTGACATCAATGGGGATTTCATCCTCAACCCCCTGGGTTAAACCTCCAGACTTCACTCAGCATCCAGCTGCGATGTGGCAAAAAGCAGCGCGATGGGATTATGCAGCAACACAAAGCACGTTGCATTAGGATGTACTGGCACAACAAGTGTGTCCTACTCAACATGCAGCTGAAAGAGACAGCCCCTTGGCTGGCTGGAAGAGCACCCCCTTTGGGTGACCATGACACGCAGGTTTCTTTGGTGACTGGTTGCTGATTGAAGAAGTTTTAAGGGGTCGGAGAAGTGGTGTCACAGATGTGTCAGTTTTCTGCAGTATCTTTGGGAGATCTCACTGAACTAAGTTTGAGTCTCTTTGGGGCCCGTTGTATTAATAATACATTAGCCATTCATTTGAAGGCCCAGATTGTACATAACTGCTCGGGGGAGGGGGGGGATGAAAGACCTGGGGGTTCACAGAACTATAGTGAACAATGGGCCAGACAAGAATGGACTATGGGAACAAAACGTGTTAAGTGGTTTTCATGGGGAAAAGCTACGGGGAGATGAATGCAAATTCCCCACGTCCAGCTATACAGAAACCTGGCCTTTTGAAACTACACCCTGAGGTGTGAGCTATTGCCTGCTGATTACTTATTACTTGAGGCCAAGATCAAAGGCTCAAGCTGTATAAAGAAAGAGCCAGGACTATTCCTGGTGGTTCTGAATCTGAGCTGGTTATAAACTCATAGCCACACTGAAAATCCAGCTGTGGAGTTTGAAGGACTGACATGTCCCAGGGCCAGAGGCTGGAATTGGGGTGACCCGTGGTAAGCTTTTTAGCATACGTGTAGGTTCTTTTAATGTTATTAATATGTTTCTCTGTAATGCTTTCACCTTAAGAATAAATGTGCTTGCTTAGAAAGAGCTGGGTGGTAACTGATTACTGCAGGCCGTTATGCTGTTCACGATTGCTGGAGAGAAAGCGAAGTGCCGACACTAGTCTGTTTAGGCAGTCTGGCTTGCACAGTGTAGGCAAGAAACTGCAGTCTTAAAGATTCCCACTCAGGAGGGAGAGAGATGCGGGTCTCTCTCCAAGAGAGGTGGCAGCTGAGGAGCCTCTGGTGGACCACAAAGGGGGAAATACAAGGGCAGCTGCCCTGAACGGGGACAAATGTGTTGTGCTCTAGTGTGCTTTTTAAGAGGCCGAAAGAAAGCATACATTTTTTTCAAATTTCTTTCCTCCTCTATTTTTTACATTATTACTACTACTACTGCTTAGTTCTTAGCTAGAAGGCAGGTCTAGCCTACTCTGGAAGACTCTATGGACCACTGAAGAACTGAAATTATAACATCACAGACACCAAAGGAGTGAAATCTAATGAACTGGGAAGGGAAAGCATTTTTATTCACACTGTTTAAAATGCTGGTATTTTATTTTAACTCTATTGAATTCAAACACCCACTACACACTTTGGAGAAAAGCTCTCTTGGTTAAAGATTGACCTTTTAGTCCACACAGGCAGCCGCCAAGGAGTCCTCCAGCAAAGCTAGAGAAGACTAGGTTTGCCATGCCTAATATTTCTAAGGCAAGAAACCCCCAAACCTTTCAACCTGCCAAGCCTGCAGAAAGCGGGGTGGGGGGGGGGATGGCACAAATCTATAGGTGGCAGGTCATCTTTAAAATGTAAAGTGAAGGGGTTTATGGGTAGATGATCTTTTTTGGCCCCCTATTCTGGGAAAGAGGCAGAAAAAGCAGCTCAAACACAACCTCTCCCTTGGGACCAAGGGAGAAATTTAATACACCCAGCCAAATGGCAAGCACCGGTTGCACTTCTCCACTTAAGCTTTGTTTGCATACCCTGGCGCAAAGAAACACAATGCCAGCAGCAGACCCCAAACCAAAGGGGAAGCTGGGTTGGAAGAATCACCCAATTTATTCCAGGTGTCCAAGTAATATAAGCCAAGAGCAGGATACAGAAAACAAGGACCAAACAGGAAGGAAATATGGCTGGGCAGAAGAATTCTGGGCAGAGATTGCACAGCTCAGTCTCTAGTGATAATATCCCCACTAATGGGCAATGAAGACTTGAACCTACATACTCCGTGAATATGAGATTCACTCCAGATGCATATGGCTGTACTGTATAGCCCTAGTCTTACGCAGCTGTGTATGGACCGTACAGCAGTATGAGCATAGAGCAGAATGCCCCAGAATCTCGCCAGGCTCAGTGCAAGACCTATCCCTTTGGGAAGCATCACTTCCGTAAGTGTGGTGCCTGAGTAGGCAGGCAGCAGCCCTGCAGGGGCAAAGAGCAAACAAGCAATATAAACAAGTGAGGGGTGGAAAATGGGGCCTTTCCAGATATTTCTGTGCACAGCGAAGCAATGGGAGCTTTGGAGAGGCGGAGATGGAGCAGGGAGAGCGCTAGAGTTACCCTGGGGTTTGTTGGTCCTGAGCTAGGATTTCTTTGAGGAGAAGGAATTCGGCAGGCAGGAAAGGCCCAGCACCGCAGTTCCATTCCCAAAATTAATCATGCTTCAGATCAATCCCAGCAGCCACGGCCTGAAGGCAGCAGATTGTGTGCCCTGCCCTTGAGGCCCCTCAGGGCTTTAACAGCAAGGGACAGATGCACAGGGCAGCTGCAGGCTCCACTCAGCTCCTTTCCAACTGCCCTCTAGCCTGCTGGGGAAACAGAGGTGCACTCACCTGCCTGGAGCTCCTTCGCAGACTGGGGGGGCTAGGGCTGCTCCTCCCAGCCGGCCTCAGCGGAGGAATGCAATGGGGACAAGTTTAGACAATCCGGAGCTGGCACAGACGCCTGCTCTTTCCACTCTCCCTGCCATTCTCCTCCTCCCTGTGACCTCAGCCTTTCTACTGCAAAGCAACTCCCCTTGTGGGAGAGGAGCCAGCTTAGCCCAGGGGAAGGAAGAAGTGAGCCGGCAGCCTCACGTTGCACTGTCAGTGCCAGGACTAATGCCTGCTTGCAGGTCGCCTGGCATGGGTCTCTGTGCTGTGTGGGCTCAGGGGAACTGGAGGGGAGTTGCTAGGGGAGAGAGACAGCAGTGAGAAACTCCCGCCCCTTCCTAGAAAGGAGGACGTGGGGGTAGCTCTCAGCCAGGCCAGCACATTCCAGCCTGGATGCTCTCAGACCCGTTCCTGTTGGGAAAATATGGTCAGGACAAGCCTCTTTCCCTGCAGAAATTCTGAGCTGGGTGCAGCTGCAGGGGTGAGAACCACTGAGCTAAACAGCAGCGGGGAAGGGGGGCAGTGAGGGCTAGTGCACATGCTCAGTCCAGGGGGTAAATCCTCCAGTGGAGCTGTGGCAATTTACACCAGCTGAAGATTTGCCCCCAGGGTTTATTTCCTAGCTGCCCCTCATTTTTTTTTAAGTGACTCTGGGCAAGTAACACCAGCTGTGTCTCCCTGCCAAACCGGGATACCAGCACCCACCAGCTCCGCACAGCGCAGTGAGCCGTGTGGATGAACGGCATCACAGAACACCACCATGAATTCCGCCACCTGACATCTCAGTCCCCCAGTGAGGTGGGAACTTCAAGGCTCAACTGGGACCAGTTTAGATGCTACTGTTCCCAAGTCTGAACTCTGCTAGAATCCAGTGGCCTTTGCCCCAGATCCTGCAAGGTGCTGAGCACCCCACACCGCTCAACCCAACGGGAGCCACGACTGCTCAGCACCCCCTGGGGCAGGCCCTGTCTGCTCACCCTCCACACTGGTCTGCCAAACCCCCAAAGCAAGAGTCCAGATCTAAACAGCACCCCCCAAAGCCACCGCCCCACACAGGGACCCCAGCCCCAACACTGCCACCTGCAACGGCGCCTGCATCAAGACCCCCGCATCACCGCTACACAATGACACAGATCGCTACCCCCAGGGCCAGGCCAAGGGGCAGGCCCAGACCCTCCCCTGAAACTAGCCCCGAGACTCCCCCCAAACGAGCCCCAGGGCCCAAGTCCTCCCCCCAAACCAGCCCCAAGCCCTCACCCCCCCCAACCAGCCCTTCCCCTAACC